CACCGGAGGCGGCGTCACCCTCACTGTGGGTCGCTCCTGCTCGGCGCTGTGCAAATCGAAGGCAACTAGAGGCAAGTGCTGCTTTTTGGTCGCTCTCGTGCCGGTGGCGGCATTGTCACCGGCATTGTCACCAGTGCCACCATCGTCACCAGTATCGGCATTGTCACTGGTGTCGGCATCGTCACTGGTATCGGCACCAGTGTCACCATTGTCACTGGTATCGGCATTGTCACGGGTATTGGCATCATCACCAGTGTCGGCATCATCATTGGTGTTGGCATTGTCACTGGTGTCGGCATCGTCACCGGTGTCGGTATTGTCACCGGTATCGGCACCAGTGTCACCATTGTCACTGGTGTCGGCATTGTCACTGGTGTCAGCACCAGTGTCACCATCGTCACTGGTACCAGCATTGTCACTGGTGTCGGCATCGTCACCGGTGTCGGCGTTCTCACCAGTGTTGGCATTGTCACTGGTGTCGGCGCTGTCACCGGTATCGGCACCAGTGTCATCATCGTCACCAGTATCGGCATTGTCACTGGTACCGGCATTGTCACTGGTATCGGCATCAACACCGGTGTCGGCGTTTTCACCGGTGTCGGCATTGTTACTGGTGTTGGCATTGGCACCAGTATTGGCACCAGTATCACCATCGTCACCGGTATTGGCATCATCACCGGTATCAGCGTTGTTACTGGCATCAGCACTGTCACCAGTATCGGTGTTGTCACCGGTATCGGCATTGTCACCAGTATTGGCACCAGTGTCATCATCGTCACCAGTATCGGCGCCAGTGGCAGCATTGTCACTGGTGTCAGCATTGTCACTGGTGTCGGCATGGGTACCAGTGTTGGCATTGTCACCAGTACTGGCACCGGTGTCAGCACTGTCACCGGTAGCTCCATGGGTACTGGTGTTGTCACGGGTATCGGTACCGGCACTGGTATTGGTACTGGTGTGGGCATTGTCACTGGTATTGCTACCAGTGTCACCATCATTGCCGGTGTTGATTTTGTCACTGGTATCGGTATGAGTGTCAGCACTGTCACTGGTGCCGGCGCTGTCACCAGTATCGGCATCGGTACCAGTGCTGGCATCATCACCAGTGCTGGCGTTGTCACTGATATCGGCATTGTCACCAGTGTCAGCACTGTCACCAGTGTCAGCACTGTCACCGGTCATTGTCACCAGTGCTGGCATTGTCCCTGGTGTTGGTATCGGCATTGGCACTGGTATCGGCACTGGTACCACTGTTGGCATCATCACCCATGTTGTCATTGTCACAGATGTTGGCATCGTCACTCTTATCGGCATCAGTGCTGGCATCGTCATCGGTGCCGACATTGTCACTAGCATTAGCATTGGTGTCGGTATTGTCACCAGTACTGGCTTTGTCATCGGTGTTGAGTGTTGGTATTGTCACCAGTGCTGGCTTTGTCACTGGTGTTGGCATTGTCACCGGTGCTGGCACTGTCACTGGCATTGGCATCAGTGTCGGTATTGTCACTGGTGTTGGCTTTGTCACTGGTGTTGGCTTTGTTGCTGGTGTCGGTATTGTCACCGGTGTTGACTTTGTCACTGGTGTTGGCATTGTCACCGGTGCTGGCGTTGTCACTGGCATCAATGTCGGTATTGTCACCAGTACTGGCTTTGTCACCGGTGTTGACTTTGTCACTGGTGTTGGCTTTGTCACCGGTGTTGGCTTTGTCACCGGTGCTGGCATTGTCATTGGCATCGGTGTTGGTATTGTCACCAGTGCTGGCATTGTCACTGGCATTGTCACCAGTGTCGGTATTGTCACCGGTGTTCCGGTGTTGACTTTGTTTGGCTTTGTCACTGGTGTTGGCTTTGTCACCGGTGTTGCCATTGTCACCGGTGCTGGCATTGTCACTGGCATTGGTATCGGTATTGTCACTGGCATCGGCATTGGTGTCAGTATTGTCACCGGTGTTGACTTTGTCACCAGTGTTGGCATTGTCACCGGTGCTGGCATTGTCACTGGCATCGGCATTGGTGTCAGTATTGTCACCGGTGCTGCCTTTGTCACTGGTGTTGGCATTGTCACCGGTGCTGGCATTGTCACTGGCATCAGCATTGGTGCTGGCATTGTCACCGGTGCTGCCTTTGTCACCGGTGTCACCATTGTCACCGGTGTCGGCACTGCCACCGGCGCTGCCATCGTCCCCATCCCTGCTCAGAGGCAGACGTTGATCTGCTTGGCCAGCTCGCGCTCCAGGTCGAGGATGAGCGCGTCGAAGTCCTTGAGGTTGAGGCAGGGGCCGAAGGTCGCCTCCGTGTCCTCCCCCAGCCCAAAATCGGCCACCAACAGGGTCCTCCGGCGCGACGACCGCCGTGCCACCACCCCGCCCTCGCCGTCACCACCTGCCACCTCGTCGTAGTCGGCGTCACCGGCAGCGCCGGGCACCAGGAGGAACCGCTGGTCGCAGATGCTCCAGTCGCCAGCGTAACGGTTA